GTGTGTGTGTGTGTGTGTGTGTGTGTGTGTGTGTGTGTGTGTGTGTGTCCCCGCGCATGCTCATGTGTGTGTGTACCTGCGGCCACATCTGAATCCAGATACATCTGACTGCCGCTGAACATCTGAATGTCTTTGCAGAATGAGTGTGTGTGTGATTATATGCATCAATAGTCTGATAAACATATGTGAAGGTCTACATCGCTGTGTGATGCCTCTGCACACACCTCTGTGCTGTGCTCTGAGTGTGCCTCTGCATTTCTGTGAACGCGTGTGGAGCTGTCTCTCAGTCCCTGAAGGAATCTCCACCTTTGTGTATTCCACACATGGGTGTTTGTATTGATGCCTTCAGGTGCGTGCCCTGGGGATAAATGTCTGTCTCTGTGGAGTTGACGTATCTTTATGCTCTTCTTTGAAACCTGTTTCTGTGTGTGTGTGTGTGTGTGTGTGTGTGTGTGTGTCAGAGAGAGAGAGAGAAAGAGAGAGACCGCCAGTCCTCAGAACACAAACTCCTTCTCTGCTTGCCCGCTGCCACCCGCTTGCCCTCCAGCGCATCCCCGGCTGGGCAAGCCACTAGCTCTCCCAGGCCAGCTCTCTTGGTTCTAATAAGTTAAGGTTAAAATGGAGGCTTTATAATCCTATCTATACATGAGAATCACCTGAAGAACTTAAACAACACTGATACCCAGGCATTCTGACTTAGTTGGGCAGGGGTATTTTTTTTTTTTTTGCTTTACACGGGCCTCTCACTGTTGTGGCCTCTCCCGTTGTGGAGTACAGGCTCCGGACGCACAGGCTCAGCGGCCATGGCTCATGGGCCCAGCCGCTCCGCAGCACGCGGGATCTTCCCGGACCGGGGCACGAACCCGCGTCCCCTGCATCGGCAGGCGGACTCTCAACCACTGCGCCACCGGGGAAGCCCCATGGGCAGGGGTATTTTTAAACACTCCTCAGTGGTTGTGCTGAGCAGCCCATGTTGAGGACTGTGTTAAGAGGTCAGAGCTCATCTTGCGTCCCGGGTCAGGGCTCGGGGGAGGAGGCCGTGAGTCTCGTTTGTGGGGACCCAGTCCTGAAGGAAGCGGGTAGTGCTGTTGCCGTCTCAGGGGGCCCTGAGCACTCTTCCCAGGCCTCTTCCTCCAGGAAGCTTGCTTTATGTCCCAGGGCAGAGGTCTCTTCCAAGAGATGTGTTTCTGGTGGCACGTTGCTGGGAGTACAAGGGCGACGGCCTCCAGGAAGGAGCACCGTGTGTCCACTTAGAGACATAGGCCATGCATCCGTTTCCCTCCTCTGGCTTTGTCTGGGCCCGGCTGGCTGTGAGGCAGGCCAAGGAGGGAGCTGAGGTGGTGAGTCACCTTCCTCTCGGCTAAGAAGGCTGAGACCCGCAGAAGCAAAGGTCTTGACTGTGGCCAAGTGCTGAGGCCAGAACCCAGGCCCAGGCCACAGGCTGTGTCGAGGGAGGTGCTAGGGGTACCCAGGATTGTCCTGGGTGGAAGCCTCCTTGACTCCAGACCCCAGCAGGCCTTGGCTTGACCTTGTCCTCTGTGCGGGAGAGTCAATCCGGGTCTCGGAGGCCTTCTGCCTTAGTAGCTCCTCTAGGCCCTCAGTCTTTAGCATCTGCTGAGAAGCTGTGGGCCCGGCCTTCCTCTCTTCCAGCCGGGTTGGTAGGGAACACCAGCTCCCTGCAGACAGGGCCTTGGCCTCCCCAGGGATAGTGGAGATGACTGACCCCTATGCGGACCACTGGTGTCACATCATGCCAGAGGCAGTCTGTGGCCACCAGGTGTATGGAAGGTCCTGGGAGTGGGTACAGAGGCTGAAGCCTGTGCTTGGGGTGCCCAGGGGTGCTGAGGCCAGTGCTTCCCCAGCCTGCCCAGGCCTTCCTGACCCCTGGGGGAGAGGCTGGGCCAGCATCCCCACGGCTACCCTGGGCTTCTCAGAGCATCTCCTGGGGATACCAAAGCCTCCCTCAGTATTTCCAAGTGGGCGCCAAAAAGGCAGAACAGTGGGTAGATGAAACGGACCCCCTTTTCCTTGAACCTTCCTGCGGCTGGTTTTCTGTCTCCTTTTCGGGTGCTCGTTTGTCACCAGATTGAGCTTGGAGAGGCCAAGGGGAGCTTGTTGAGGCAAGGAGAGAGGGAGGGAGGTGTGGGAGGCAGCCACTGGGGGCACAAAGGGCCCCAGGGTACTGGCTGCTCTGCCCATTGATGGGGGGTGTGTAAGGACTCATGGTTGGGAAGCAGCCCCCATGGGCCTCTTAAACCAGCCACCTGTGGGTTAGTGGTGGCCCTGACATGGGCCTACTCAATCTCTTTAATAATAATAGTAACAAAACATTTTAATTACTGTATAGTATTTCATTGTATGGCTATGCAGGGGCCTGTTAACAGTGCCTGCTCGAAGGATGGTTGGCGGCCGCATTTTTTGCTGTTGATGCTATTTTAAATGATGTTGCAGTGAATATCCTTTCATATGCTTCTTTCTGTATAAGCACAAATCTCTCTCTAGGATAGACACCCAGATGCAGAATTGCTGGCTTGCAGGGAATATGTGTTAATGATCAGTTTTAGAAGCTGACCGGACTCTTCCTCTGGGCATGTGCTGGGGCTCCCTCAGGCTCCTCACTCGACTGCCCGTGCCCTTTCTGGTCCTTAGTAGCAACTCGGGCCTCAGAGCCACAGGAGCTCTGGGGGGAAGGTCCTCGAGGTCCAGGCACATCCTTCTCAGTAGTCACTCTTTTTGTCTGTTGCATTGGTAAAGGCTTTATCCTGGAGGCCAAGTGGGCTGCGGCAGGGTGAAAGGAGGCTATGTTTGTTGGGGACCGGGCTTGGCTGCTGGAACAAAGCGGCCCTGTATGAGTGAGTGAGTTAGAGAGGAGGGCACGTAGCAGCCTGTAGCTAGGTGGGCCGTCAGGCTGGCTGGGTGGCTCAGCGCCGTGGGTGCACTCAGTCATCCCGGCTCCTCTCGGTGTGTCGCTCCCCGCCTCTTGGTGTTGTCCTGGCGGCTCTGTCCAGCCTGGGTCTGGCATCGGGGAGGGGGAAAGAGCAGCAGGGGTGAGCACGTGATGCCTTAGGGACAGGTGGCGCATAGGTGGTACATGTCACTGTCACCCACCTTCCATAGGTGGGAAATTCATCATATGCCCGCACCTGAGAGCAAGAGGCACCTGGAAATGTCCTCTCCAGGTGGGCACGCGTGTGCCAGCTAAAACTCTCTTCCTGTGGAGGGAGATCTGGAGACACAGTCACCTGCTGCAGAGGAGAAAGCCATTCAGACCATTCTCGTAGGCGCCCGAGCCAGCGTGTTCCCTGCTGTACCACCAGTGCCTGGTAGTGAGTAGGCCCTCGGCCGGTGCTTGTGGGATAGAAGAATAAAGAACAGCACAAAGGCATGGAGGGGGGTTACCCTTGGAGGCTTTGCTGCAGGTAGGGGTGGGGGGCTGTCGCCGCCCCTCTTATGCCGCTGGACCCGCAGGATTCATACCTTTCCTTTCTTTCTAGCCTGTAGATACCTGGGGCTGAACAGCAGCTGCTGTGAGTGAGAGGCGGGCAGCACTGGCCTGAGCCTCCTTCTGGGCTGAGAAGCATCATGGCCAGTGTCATACAGGCCTCCCTGGCTGCCCTCCTTCTGCTGCCTATGGTAAGGGCCCAGGACCCTCCCCTCCATGACCAGCTAGAACCCCAGGCTCACCTGAGCTCCCACCCCAGATAACCTGTGTCTTTTGTGTGCTATCAGCCGAGCTCAATTCACATGGCTGGTATCACTGCCAGTACCCCCTGGACCATCTGGCACTTTTGGGTGAACTAAAAAGGGTGCCCCTTCCTCAAGACCCTGTACCGATTTGACCAGAAATTGTTACATAATTTACAAATCTATTATGATAGTAACATATGCGGCAGCCTTTAGAGTTGTACAGTACACAACCTGCTCAACCGTATGCAGGGGCCCTCGTCAAGGCTGCAGAAGGCACTTGTGATCCTGGTCCCCAGCTCACTGATCTCTGGCAGGTTAGGGCTCAGAAGGCTACTCTCTGCTCATGTCTCTGAGTGAGAGAGATGGGGTGCAGGGTTCCCAGACATTGGCCCCTGCCCCTCAACCTGGGAATTCTGACCAGCATGGATGCAGCTGTCTTCAGAGCCCTGGATGCCAGTCCTGCCTCTGCCCTGCCTTACCGTGTGAGCCACAGCCCAGCTCATCCCTTTCCGTGCACATCTGTGAACGGTCTGAGCTAGACTGGATCCCTGAGCACTGCTCTGGCAGCTTGGGGTGCCTTGTGTCTGCCTCCACACTCGCCAGCATCCCCTTATGGGACCATCCCTGCCCTGGCGTTCTGAGTTGAAGTGACAACACTAGGATGCAGCTGTCGTGATAGCATCCGTGGGCTTTGAAGTTACTTGGTCCTACACTTAAATCCAGTATCTGCCACTAACCAGCCGTGTGACCTTGGGCAGGAGTTTCTAAACTTCTCTGAGCCTCAGTTCCCTCCTTTGTCACATGGGGCAGGAGTAGATGAGAGTGGCTACTAAGCCCCACGGAATGCTGCCACTGTCCTTCACCTGCAGCTCCCAGGCCCCCAGAGGAGAGAGAGGATGAGCTCTCTCAGCCCCTCCTCTTTCTCACCTCCTGCTTGCTCCCCTAAAGTGCACTTGTAGCCTCGTGGTCTCTGGAGCTGGACTGCGTGGGTTTGAATCCTGGCTGTACAGTCTACTACACTGTGTGACCCTGAGCAAGTTTCGTAACGTCTCTGTGCTTAAGTTTCCCATCTGTGGAATGGGAAATGGTAAAAATAGCGCCTGCTTTGTAGTACTCTTGATATATATATGCGTGCATATGACAGAGTAATGCACTCAGTACGGTGCTCTGTGTGTACTTGCTAATGTTATTATAAGACATGGAAACTGAGACCCAGGAAGCGGGTGGGATCTGCCCAGGTCCCACACTGAGTTGGTGAAGGGGAAGAGTCCTCATGGCGCCTGTGACGAAGTGGAGGCAGGGTCCCCGCTGGCTCTGAAATCTCTCTGTCACTGTCGTCTTCCTGCTTCTGTCACTCCCCTTCTCCCACTGCCCCGGAGGCTTAGGTAGCAGGGCTTGTTGGTGAACCTCCCTGTTCCTTCTCACCATGTATCCCCTGTGCCTCCTGCAGGCTACCACCATGCACTCTGACTGCATCTTCAAGAAGGGACAAGCCATGTGCCTGGAGAAGATCCAGAGGGCCAACGAGCTGATGGGCTTGAATGACTCCTCCCCAGGTGAGGAGGGTGGCGGGGAGGGCCACCATCCCTGGCACATCCAGGCCAGCCTTAGAAGTGATGTCCCAGCCTCTGGCCAACTTATAGAAAATAGTGGAGGGTACAGGTCCCTGGATCCTTCAGAAAGCCCCTTGGGGTGATGGAGCCCTGGATCTGCTCTAGGCAGTGACACTGGGGTTGCCCTCCTTGGGGATGGCCTGCCCTGGATGCCTCCCTCTGGAAGGGGCTATTCCGGGTGACTGGACGTGGCCACCTTCACTCCCATGGGAGCTGGGTTAGAGCTGGTGTCTGGGCTGAGCAGCGGCTGTCGGAGAGCTCGTTAGCAGGCCGCCTGGGCCTGGTGGTGGAAGGGACACAGCTGTTGCTGGTGGCTGAGCTAGAGAGCACCTGGTCTCCCCAGAGCATGAGGTGTGGGGTCATTTCCATCTCCTCGGCTCACTCCGTCAGAAGCGAGAGAACAAGGCAGCAGGAGCCCCAGTCCTGTGCGTATCTGGTGCTTCCGTTCTCCTGGGGCTGCTACCAGCCTGGGGGGCCGGATGCTGCTTCCTTGTGCTGGATGGTACCACGCACCGCAGGACATGCAGTGGCCTTAGCTGTCCCATTAGATACCCCTAACTGCCCCTGATCTCAATGACAGTCCCCAAAGCCTCACTTTTCTAGATGTCCCAAGGGAGTGGCATGGCCCTGGCTGAGAACCAGTGGTCCTGTGTAACCCCTTTCCTCCTGACTCCCCTGCTGTGCAGATGGGACGCTGAGGCCCGTAGAGCAAGGGCACCCTCGGCTTCCTGACTCCAGCAGGGCCAGGGAGAGGGTCTGTGTGGGAAGTTGGGGGTTTGGGGGTAGGGGGCATCGCTGGAGGACTCACCAGTCACTGGAGGGTGGGGTTCTCCACCCACCCTGGAGGGACCCACTTTCCCCCCGCTCCTCCCCATTTACAGGGAGCTCTTCTGGGCACCATCCGTTTAAATGCGGGGTTAGTCAGCAGCCCAGTTAAATGTGATCGTCCCGCTGGGCTGGGCTCCCCAGCCAGTCAGCTCAGCAGGCATTAACTGGTAATGGAGTGACTCCCAGCCATGCTGTCCTTTCCCTCCAGGTGAGCTGTTGCTCAGCTCTCACTGAGGCCAAAAGTGGATCTGAGGCCTCACCAGCCAGGGAACCTGAGGCAGGGGGCCTAGGTGGGTGCACGGTTGCGGGAGACTCAAAGAATATCCTGTCCAGGCCTCTTGTCTAGGGGATGGGAATGTGGAGCCTGGAGGGCAGTGACTTTAGAACCATAGGAAGGGGGAGTGGCAGGCTCAGGTGGGCCTGGAACCCAGGTGCCTCCCTCCCAACCCGGGGCCATTGTTCCTGCTTCGCAGCTCTCAGGTATACTTGGGATCGAGTAGTAGGAAGCGTTCCGTAGGGATGGGTCGAGGTGGGATGTGGGGCTGGGACTGGGCCAGCAGGCATGTAGGTGAATTGCACCTGTGGAGCCCCGGGCAGGGAGAGGACAAGACCTCCCCCCCCCCACCCCGCCGCCTTCCCCCCAGGGGCATCCAGGCAGAGGTGTGAGTGTGAGTGAGGCAGATGGAAGGATGGATGCCAGCCCAGGAGGGGCAGACCAGTGCTGCCGGGAGGGGCTCCCACCCCCAGGCATGCTCAGGAGAGGACGATGAAAGGAATTCTCTGTGGGGAAGGATTCATGGAGAAGGTGGCCTTTACATTAGGTCCTTGGTCCTCAGACCTGGCTGTACGTCAGAGTCACCAGGGAGCTTTGAGGAAAATGTACCCAGGACACAATCCAAACCAGTTAGGCCAGAGCCTCACTCCACTGGAGTCACCGTGATTTTTAGAGGCTCCCCAGGCGATTCTGACGAGAAACTAGCTAAGAACACCTGAGTTAGGCCCTAGGGAGGAGTAGGCACTTAATGGCAGGTGAGAGCTGAGGGATGGATGTTCTGGGCTGCGGGAACCACAGCAGCAAGAGGCGGGTGGGGGAAGGGAGTGAGCCCCCCCCCTAGGTCTGGAACCCTGAATTGGAGTCGGTGGGGATGGGCTAGAGGGACGTGTGGCTGAGGGCCCGGGAGCAGGTATCTGTGTGTTGCACGTCTGCTGCCGCTGGAGTTGGAGGTCGGAGGGGACAGCAGTGGTGGCATCCCCTGAGCTGCCGTGCCTCCAGCTTTGCCCAGGACCCTGCCTGGACCTTCCTCTCGTAGTCCTGCCTCGGGGGCCCTGTAAGTCAGGTCACCCCCAAACCTGAACCTGGTCAAAGGACCCCAAGCCTGTGGAAGAATTTCACTGACCCATCCACCTGCTCATTCATTTGCTCACTTATCCCCTCACGCTCTCGTGCACTTATTCAACTCACATGACGAGCTGGGATCTTAGGTGTCCGGCCCAGGGGGAATGAGGGCAAAGCCAGGGGTGGGGCCTGCCGAGCTTCTGGGAGAATTGAAAGATGCTGACGGCCAGGCCCTCCCCACACCAGCGTGATTGGCGTTCGGACGGGGCCACTTGTTGAGAGTACGTGTTAAAAGCCTCCCAACGATTCTAAAGTGTATCCAAGGTTGAGAGCCACTGGGTTGGCCAGAGAATAGCCTCTACCAGGGTGCTTATGTCAACTTGGGCCAGAGAGCAGCCCCCAGCGTCCAGGCAAACCTGGCTGGGAGCCAAGAGTCCAATCTGACTATAAGCGAGAATCAGCATTATGGTGTGAATGTATGTGTTTGGGGTGACATGAGAGAGGCCAGCCCTCCTGCTGTACCCCTTCTCTGCACCTCCCCTGCCCCTTCTGTCCCAAGCACATACACCATGCACAGAACGCTGGCCAGGGGTCAGCCGATGTCCCGGAAACACACTTGAAAAAGAAAATCTGTCAGCTTGTTCCAGTGACTGTGAGTGTGTATTCACAGCAATGCTTGTAGATATATATATAAAACTTGTGTGTCCCCATGATCTTTTAAATCCCATAAAGTGAGTGCATTGGAATGAAGACACTGATCTGTTAGAGGGGAGGTGTGTCTGTGGCATGTACGTGTGGTTGGGGGGATGGTGAGGGGTTCCCAGGATGACACCTGCATCCCCTCAAACCCATATCCCTCACTGATCCTGGGACCTTCACCGCAAAGAGAACGTGGGACCGTATTGCATACAGGGGCCTTCAGAATGGAAGCCGAGGGACAGAGATATGCTAGGGAGGGGCACCGGCGCTCAGCAGGCAGCTGAAGGGGGTAGAAAATATAGGTAAGATAGCGGAGAGTGAAAGCAAGCTTTCTGACTGGGTGGTTTTGCCCACAGCGTCCCTGGCGGGTTTTAAAGATGTTTATTGGGACCGTTGTTGAGGTGATATATTTAGTGGTTTTGTCCCTCGTTCCAAACTCCTGAATGCTAAACAGACCTTGAGACAGCACCAAGTCCGGCTGTATCATGGGACGCACGGAGAGGCTGAGGCCAGAGTTGGGCGTCGCTGGCCAAGTCACACCGAGGGCCAGAGCCAGCTCTGGGACAGGACCCAGGTCTGCTGTCCCAGCCAGGGAGGGCCCTCTTGTGCTGCGGTGCTCTTGTGCCTAGAGAGAAGCAGAAAGGACTCCTGTGCGTGGGAACCTGCGCCTCCTCTCTGGAGCGTCCCCAGACCCACACAGGGCACAGGCACTGCCTGCTGGGCTGGCCACTTCTGTTCTCTCGGCTCAGCCCGGCCAACCTGCCTGTCCAGGGTGAGTCCTGCCAGCACGTCCTCTTTGTGGGACTGCGGGCTTGCATCAGTCTGGAGGCCTTCCCTGCGTCTAAGTGGGCTGGTCAGGTGTGGTCCTCCTTGGGGGTCCCACGCCCCATACTCTGGAGAAGATGGAAGAGGGAGGCCTGACGCGGCCTCGGCAGGGGCCGGAGGGAAGTGGCTTGGAGGAGAGACAGGAAAGCCTGCTCATTGCTATTCTGACCCAGCCTCTGAGGCCTGTTCAGGGTGCAGAGTGTGTACCCTGGCCCCCAGCTCCACCCCCTCACCGGAAGAGAGGCCTGGAGGAGGGCGGGGGAACCACTGCAAGGCTGGGCCCAGGCTCCCCATCCTCGGGGCAAGACCAGCTTCTTGTCTGTGCCTCCCAGCTGTTCTGAGAACGAACAGAACCCCAGCGTGGGGAGGGGGCGGGGCCTGTAGGGACCCGCCCTCTGTGGAACTCGCTCCCCAGATCTGACAAAGGGTTCTGTTTCTGTCCAAACCTGTTTCTCTTTGGTCCGTAGTTCTCAGACTTAAGCCTGTATCAGAACCTCCTGGAAGTCTTGTGAAAACCCAGAATACGGGGCCCAGCCCCAGTTTCTGACTCAGTGGATTTGCCGGGGCCTGAGTGTCTGGGTCTCTGGCACGCTCCCAGTGGCGCTCTGCTCTGGGGTCTGCACTTTGAGAACCGCTGACTTCCAGAGGGGAGGGCTGCATCTTCAGTCCTTCCTCCACTCCCCCAGCATGGAATTCACAGCTGCTCTTCATTTCATGGATCAGTAACATTGGCTGTAAAGTAAATTTCAGTAAATGGAATCATTTTTTACCCGTGAATCGCATGCCGAAATGAGGGGCTTGTTCTAACGATACGCAGGCATCCTCAGGCAGCTTCTCAAAGAGAGGACTGCGCCTTTGTTTGAGTCCCCTTGGCGCCCCTGGTCTCACGAGTTTTGAACACTGTGTGGAACTGGACAGAATCATCACCATGACAACCCGAGATTAGCTCCTTATTTTGTTCCAGTCGGGGCTAATGGCTCTTGCGTTCTCTCTCCATTCAACCTGCCCAAGTGGTCTTTTCCCCTCCTGCTGTCACAAGGCACCGCCTCTCCTTGGCTGCTTTGTGTGTCAGCATCTTAGTGGGAGCAGCCCCGGAGAGTGTGCCCAGCATTCTCCCCCCGAGCGGGAATCCCCCGGTGCCTGAATTCCTCCCATCAAGTCCCATAGAGGCTTTCGGCGGGACAGACTGAGCCAGGAGGGCACAGGCAGGCTTCGTGTGGAATTGGGGCCCAAGGAAGGCTTGGGGTGTCAGAGT